AAGTAACTTAATTTATGCCTGAACTCAAAAAAACTCAAAAAATCAGGATGAAGAAAAATTAACTGATAATTAACATACCATTAATAGGATGAAGAAAAATTAAATAATTACCTGTTGCTGTATTAGCACTTGCTGCAGATGCCACAATGCCAAGGCTTGTAATTGATTCAGCTAAACCACCATAAACTATGCTTTTCACAATTTCCCACCCGTTAAACCTACTTGGCTCTGAATCTACTTGTTCATCCAATGAATCATCAATGGGTATTGCTACAGGTCCTGCTTCAACCAAATTTTATGTACTATATTATATGACATTGAAATACTGTCAAATACCAAATTTTATTTTTTCAACTTTGAGGAAAAAATAAAATGGGTTGAATGTTTTTTTATTTAATAAATTTTGTTTTATGTTTACTTTTGCCACTTAAGCAACATAAGAAATATGAATTTAATAAACTAAAAGCACATCTATCTCAAAATTAATTATAAAAAAATCCAACCAGCTTTTTGTTTTTGTATCTGATGTAGAATTAACGGCATGGACCAAGACTTCTCCAAACCTCAATAAAAAAGTGTCGAGCTCAAACACCAATGACGCTTATGTCGAAGCTCAATGATGAGAAGTGTATTCGTCTTTCCTCAAATTTTGAAGATAAAGTTACATGTGCATATTCCAGATGATATTGCTATGTGCATGGGCCTAAAAGAATGTGGTGCTAATTCCTTCGTTATGAGTAGAAAGATAACATGCTAGACAAGCAATACCTTCGCGACTGTCCACTGCAGTGTCCAGTACATTCTCAGCAGTTGGTGCTCTGAGGGAACGAGAATCTGGTAAAGACTCAGGCACGGTGGCTACAACAGGTTCAGGTGTTTTCGGGATCTCTGTTTTAGCAACTCCAGCTAAATGATCAGGAACAGGAGCTCTGTTTATCAATGCAGATAGACTAAATCGATCAAGCAGTCCACCCTTCGGCTCTTGTGATTGGTTTGGAATTCCAACCACAACATTCTCAATATCAATACCTGCACAAAAATTTAGTAAGATATGATCATAACATGAGAGATGAGAGTTTTCAACAGATAGTGAAAAGTCGTATTTTATTTTATAGCTTAAATATTAGGACCATCTTGTTATACATTCATCCAACTCTCAAATCACATCATGTCAGGAAATAATTCATGTAAGGTGTAGATTTGTATTATTTAAATAGAGTTCCGTTATGTTTAGATTAGATATTACTCTTCTTATCTTTTAATTATTAGTTAATATCCTTTTCTTTTATTTTTAGTTTCCTTAGTTGTAATTTTGGGTGTATTATATTTACTCATTATTGGATCCTCGGTTGAATAAGAAAATAGTTTCTCCTAAAACTACATGGTATTAGAGATAAACCTTAGCCTTCTGAAACCCTAGTCGGATATTATTCACCAGTTGCTCATCTGTGTTTGTAGGTCTCAATTAGTCGCAAATCTTGTGTTTTGTGGTTCAAATATCTTCAACAATTGTGGATCTCGTTTTTCTACAATCATCTGCAGTCGACATAATCTTTGCACTCAACTTTGCCATTGTTCATGGTTCAAAGATCTCAAATCCCGTGGTCTGTAGTTCGTTCTTTAGCACTCATTTCCTCCTTCAAATCCCCATTTGTGGGCTTCTCCCTTCATGGGTTACAGGTGTCACAATCGCACTTTAACGGGACTCAAGAAGCGATTGTGCGGCACTTGCTTTCACCCTCTAGCAAGTCAGCCAATGCGGAAACAAATAGCCGGTGGCACAAAGGCTATATGTCGCAACCTCCAAATTGTGACTAACAATAAACTTAACAATCACAACTTACTTCTATGGAATCAATATGTCTTTGTGTTCATACGTGGCCGAGATAAGGATGGTAATCTAAGTAGTTATATAGTCCAGCACCCGATTCACCTAGAATTTTGAGTATGAAAAATTGATGATCATGTAGCCATGTCTTGGTTCATAAACTCTATCTCTATGACCATAGAGGTTGGAGAGACTTCATATTGTTCAAGACGGCAAAAGAATTATGGGAAAGCACCCGTGATACCTACTCTAGCTCTCTAAAAACTCCTCCCCACTTCTGGATGTTGAAACTCGACTATTAAATCAATGAGATATTAGGGTCACTCAATATTTCAATTTCCTTGCACACTATTGGTAACAATTAGATAGGTACAAGACTTGCAAACGGAAGTGTGCGTGCCGAAGACTAAACTTAAAACAAGAAGATAATTGAACAAAAGCGGGTATTGATGTTTCTTTTTGGGCTCCAACCCTGAAAATGGAGCCAAACTAGAAAGGGGCCTCCAACCAAGAAAAATAAGTCCTAAAAGGTAATCACAAAAATCCTTGCACACTGAAGCACAAAGAGAGACATGAAACCTGACAAGGAACCAAACTTCCCCCAATGTCTCTTTGACCCCTCTAAAAATTCTTACTGTTCCTCTCAATCTAAAGGCCCATAAGGTAGCACATAGGCTAGCAAGCCACAAAAAGCAATCCTTTATCACATAAGGGTGAAAACCAATGCACAATAAATGTGGTTGGTTTATTTTTGTCTCTCAAATCTGAGATCTTGGACTCCTTCTCCGTCGTCTAACTCTTTCATCGGATTCTTTTTTTTTTTATTATTCCTTTCTGATATTGCTCCAACTGTGTTTCAGAAGAGGTAAACATTAAAAAAAAAAGGAAAGAAAAAATATGGTTTCAACAAAAACCTCCGACATTTCATCGGTCAGTGAACAAGAATAAAAAAGGACCGTCGGTGCCGGTTCCAGCACCAAACCGACGCCGACCGAGCGATGTACAGGTCTAATGAGTAGATTAAGGCAAGCAGAAGTACTTTTAGCATTCAAAACCTTTCTCGAGTGCACAATCTAAGCGTGATGGATGGTATAATCCTAAACTAAACTTCCAGTTCTCACTTAAATATATAACACTTGTACTTGACCATACCGTTTTTGCCATCCAGTGTATCTGTTACCATTGCTTCAAGAGAGGTGAGACCTGGTGTAGAATTGGCTTTAGTATCTATTTCAGACTCCAATAATATTGCAAATCCATTTGACTGATTTGGAACTTGAACTATGTCTACTGTTGAAGCTTGATTATCTACATCCAGCACAGATCCATTTGACTCATGTGATGGGTATGCTATTCCAACTACAATATCCTCATCAACAGCACTTCCTGCATCAAACACATCATCAGAGCACAGTAGGTAAGAAATTCCAAGAAGAATCAAATTTGGTTTATTGCTTTGAAATCTTCCATGAAATATAGATATTAAGAGAAACAAAGAGCAACGATATCCCAACTCTAACATTACAATTTATTTAGTCATCCATCTCTTAAAAATGAGACATCCAAACTGAGATATTAATGTCATGCACAATGATAAAACCAAATTATCTCGACTTAAAACTTGACATAGAGAATGTACTAGTATGTTGCAATATGAAAATAAATAAATACCACTCACAAATTTGGAGAAAACAGATTACATTACAGACTAACAGCTAAGGGGAAGGAGTTAAGGACGAAGTTTTTAACAGGGCAAAATAGACCTTTCGTTTGGTTACTGAGGATTGAGTCGGTGACTATCTGGTCCAGTAGTTTCAAAAGAGATACTTTTAGTCCTGAGGTTTGAAAAATCGTTCCAAATGATCTCTATGCTCATTTTACTGTTAGGTAACTAATGCAACGATATATGGTGGTTAAGTTGCTAACTATTGCTAATTTGACAAAATAATTGATTCAACTTTTTTGTTGCTAATAGGACTTCCTCTCCCTCATTCCCTCTTCTCCTTCATCTCTCCTTCTTTCATCCTCTAGCAAACCTCATTGATGCTGCCGACCAACCTTTGAAGCTCCTTCCCTAGCGATTTCTGTATCGCTTCAAGGCTTCAAAGTTTTATGAAGAACAATGAGAATCTGGATCACAGAGAATCTAAACCCACAAGGTTCTAAGTGCGGAACTGCAAGAAATGATCATTCCTCTTGGATCTAGAACTACAAGAGGTACCCGTGCAATTGTTCAACCACTTGGATTTGGGTTTGGCTACTTGTAACCATGCCCCAAACGAGAGGTGAGTGTGAATAAAGGGATTGAGTTTCCCCATGTCGATCGTGGTTACCGTGCCAATAGATTTTCTTTTTGAGTTTTATGTTATCATATCAAAGTTGTCATGCCACCAAGCAAAGATGGATTGCAAAGTACTACCAAATCATGAAGAATTTACTAGAAATCTATCCACCATGGGGTCCATTTCTATAAATCCTCCTGGCTCTTCGTGTTTCATTCTTTTAGAATGGCATCATTGTTTCATGTAAAAAAAAGATAAAGAATAAATTAAAAAGCAAAGCTCAATCATACCTTTCTTGCTATCCTTAGCACCATCAAGTACATTCCAATCAAATGTAGAATCTACTTTAGTTTCTTCGGCTTTATCATTCTTCAACATATTAAATTCAACCAGTTGATCAGGAACTTGAGGTTTATTAATGGAAGCAGCTCGAATTTCTTGATCATACATTGTTTCAGCTGATTTTTGCAATGGGTCTGTTCTTCCAACTGCGATGCTCTCAATTATGTTTCCTGCACCAAGCATAACAAGAGATTGACCTAAGGTGCTTCAAAGTTGTAATTTATGTTAAATACTACCTTAGCGCTGATCATACTCTTAACCAAGTAGTAAGTTCAATGAACAATGTCCTCAAATGTCTTTTCTCATTTTACATCATTTACCCCTTTAACCCATATAAGATTATAGTTTTTGTTAGAGATTGTTCCAACTAAAGAATAAGAAAATATATCTACGAATAAAAATATAATTTTCAAGACATCAAAAACTCATTGAAGGTACACAAAAGATATTAAACATTTCAAAAGAGAACATTTAAACTATCAAATCCTTAATTGTAGCTCGAGAGCTTTTTTCTTTTATAAAAATGCAAAAACAAAGGAGAATATTTCCTACCGCTTCCTATAGAGATAAGTCCTCTCTTAAGAGACAATTATCCACAAGATGGGACCCGATCAGATCAGAAAATAATAATAGTCCAACATGAAAAATAATTAGCAAATGAATGATGTAAAACTGGAAACATAGAGTGTAGAAATTAAACTATCCAAGCTGGCACATGCCACATCTAGAATATTTAATGGCACCAGATTATCCACCCCTGCCAGGGAAGAACTCGACACCAAGTTCTCAGGTAAAGTTGGAGCATTATTTGGTGGTTAGTACCAAAAATATTGTTGATATTGAACTTTGAAGGTTTCTGAAATTTGGAGGTCACTTGCAGAGAACATATGTATTGTCATTCCCTTTGTGAATGATCCAAAAAGGCCTCCTCGCTTTAAGCTTGTTTTATGTACCCACACAAAAACATTTGGCTGTTTCGAATTTTCTATTGTCTCCTTGTGAATGTTGGCAATTCGTTCTGCCACTTCATTGGCAAGCTTTCTCTCTAAGCAATGGAATTGGAATCAAATAAGTGGTCTAATTTGGAGCCATGTATACAAAATGGAGAAAAGAGCTGCGTTTGGGAGATCATTCAATCGTGCTGCTATTAAGGAAGGACAGCATCCTATTGTTTGGTCCGAATGGCATAATAAAATATGAAGAACCTCATCCATCAACAATTGGAATATAAAATGGGCATTAAAGAGGCCAAATGGCATTACCAAAAACTCGTAATGGCCTTCATGAGTTCAAAAGGCTAATCTATGAACATCCTCCACAACTTGAGCTGAACTTGAAGAAACCATTAGCAGTCTTACACAGCAATAGGCTTGACTCCTTCACCACCTCCATTGAAATGAAGTTATGAGTGGCCCCACTATCTATCAAAACAACCACCTCCCACTAGGCAATCTTTCCCTTGACCTTTATAGCTTTTGGCTAGTCCAATCTTTCCCCACTGAGCTGAGCAATAATCCAAGAACCTCTTCTCACTAGGTTGTCTTCTTCCCTTTCTTCATCACCCATTGCCTGCATGGCAACATTACCGACATTGTTCAAGCTTGTGTCAATACTGCTCCCATGCTTGCTGATTCAGGCTCCTGCTTTTTCCCTATCCTTTTTTCCTTTTATGTTTTCTACAATCACTTACGTGGTCTACTATAGTCCTTCAAACTTCTTCATGTGAAGAGTATTACTAGGAATCTATTAGGAATATTATTTTTTTGATAAAGCCCAATACACAAGGGCATCCACACCCGCCCCAAGGCCCAGATCCAAAGATATCAAGGGTTTTTGGTATTAAGTTCACCAAAAGGTCCTAATTGAGACCTCTAAACCAGTATAACCAAGAGATCACAAATCCTTGCCAACTGGGCTGCCCCTTGGGGGCTATATTGGGAATATTATTAGGATACTAGTAGTATCATAATAGTAATTACTTGGTAGTTTGTCAAGGTGAGTTGGTTACAAAGAAAGGGAGTCAGGGAGGTAAGGCATTATTTGGGGAATTAGTTCCTAGTGGGTAGATTTTGGAGAGGTAGCCCTCTCAAAAGGCTATTGCTATGTTCTAATTTATCTTTGACACTGCAATATTGTTTTATTGTTGTTTTCTTATAATTGGGATCCTAACACTTCATCACTTCATCCATAATCTTTTTCATTGCTTTCTTTGACCCCTTTCTCCATAGACTCGTGTACTTCCTCCTTGATATCCCTTGAGTGAACCAATTTCCTTCTCAACCACAGTTGATTCCTTGGGAACCTATTAGCAGGAAGACTTCTCCACCACTAATCATCTAGAAATTAGAATCAAATAACCATATATTCTAAAAGGAAAAAAGGCAGAACCCTAAGATTACCAATTTCAAGGAGAAATGAAAAGTGATCAAAGATTGTCCTATGTATGTGTGCGTGTGTGTATATATATACATATAAGAAACAATTTCATTGATGGGAATTACAAAATGAGGGGGAAAGAACCCAGTTGGATAAAAGAGAAGGAAAGCTGTAGTATTGGGGCATCATTTGTTGGAGTCTATCTTGAGTCAAAGCTTGTGTTAAGTTAATACTACTCCCATGCTTGCTGATTCAGGCTCTTGCTTTTCCCTGATCCTTTTTTCCTTTTATGCTTGCCACAATCACTTATGTGGTCTCCCATAGCCCTTCAAATTCTTCATGTTAGAGTATCACTAGGAATATATTGGGAATGCCATTAGAACATTAGTAGTGGCATAATAGTAATTACTTGGCAGTTTGTCAATATTGGGTTGCTGGAACTTAACTTCCCAATTGAAGGAGACCAAAATCTATCATTGCAGGAAAGGACCACCCCCTATCTCTAAGTTTTGACCACATAAAAAGGTTCTCACATATCATGTAGGCGGTGAGTGTGAATAAATGAAATCCTCATGCTGACAGTGGTTACAGTGCCATATAGATTTGTTAGAATAAAAATATATAATTAAAAAAAATTAAAAAAAAAATACATTGTAACCCATTAGCTTAAACTTATAGGTTCATGATTTAACATGGTATCAGAGCAGGAGTTTTTGTGTTCGATCTCTTGTAATGTTATTTCCTCTCCAATTAATATTGATAATCACTTGTGGGACCATGTGCTAGTTTTCAAATGTTAGAATATAAATAATTAATAAAATTTTAGTAACTCATTAGCTTAAGTTTATTGTTTTAGTGGTGAGTTAACTTAACTAGATTCCTTTTGGTTTAATCTTACCGCATCAAAGTCACTACCAAGCATATACAACAAAGTGCCACCAAATCATGAAGCATTTTCCAAAAAAGTTTATGCCATGGAGTCCTTTTCCATAAACCCTCTAGGCTCTTTGTATTTCATTCTTTCAGAATGGCATCATTGTTACTTATCCAAAAATTTAAAAAGAACAGAGAAAAAGTAAGGCTCAATGATACCTTTCTTCCTATCTTTAGCCCCACCATCGTGTCCGTCCAGATCAACTGTAGAATCTACTTTAGTTTCTAGGGTTTTATCATCCGTCAACACAATAAATTCAACTAGCTGATCAGGAACTTGAGGTTTATTTATGGAAGCAGCTTGAATTTCTTGATCATATATTGTTTCAGCTAATTCTTGCAGTGAATTTGGTCTTCCAACTATGTTGCTCTCAGTCATTTTTCCTGCATCAAGTATTACAAGAAATTGGCCTAAGGTGCTTCAAAGTTAAGGTAATTTATATTAAATACTACCTTTCCACTGATCATCCTATTAACCAAGTAATAAGAGTTCAAAGAACAATGTCCTCAAATGTCTTTTCTCATTTTCCATCATTTACCTCCTTAACCCAACCCATATAAGATTATAGTTATATACAATCAATATAATATTGAAGAAATTATTTGTCAGAGATTGTTCCAACCAAAGAATTAAGAAATTATATCTAAGAATATAAAAAGAATTTTGAAAACATCCCTCATATTGAAAGCGCACAAATGAAATGGAACATTTAAAACAGAACATTGATTAACTAAAGTCAATAACTTGGTAATTTTCACATCCATATAACACAATCACAAACGGGAACCTCTTGAAATATACTCTTGTCACAGATCTTTATTTGAGATTGATTGTATTAGGAGGTTTAGTTTGTTAGTTTTAAATGATTAGAGTTGTTTTCACGCTTTGAGGGTTCTTTGTAATTCTTGTTGGATAGGCTGTTTGGCTTATGATTTGTCACTTCTGTGTAATTTTTCACTTAATCAATGAAAAATTCTGTTTCTTTGGAAAACACATATATAAATATAAAATTTGTTTTGCAGGATAGTAATTCAGAATCTTTTTTATAGAATTAGTTTAGAAAAACTGGTCAACTTCCTTATAAACATGATATTACTATTCATAAGTCTATGTTTTCTAAAGAATATTACTTTAGCAAATCTAAAACAGAATTATCAAGGGAAACAAATTCTAGAAAAAAGCAACTCAAACATGTTTCTACTAGAAAAACAGAAATACCTGAACTCAACTTCCAAACATGACTTTAGTTTCTAATGGGAAAAAGTCCTCGTGAAGATGCAGTTTAGTGCAAGTCTAGAGCTACTACAGGTATTAACGTTCACAGATAGATAATTAGAATTTTGCCCCTACCTTGTTTGCTATTCATTTCCTCATCAAGTACAACTGCTTTATCGGTGATTATTGCGTGAAGTGAAAAATGAGTTGACGTTGGATCAGGTACTGCACAATCTCTCTTTTGTGTTTGATCAGCTACCGCATTACCAACTGATTGATCAGGTACAACTGTGCAAAATGTACGGTCTTGAGTTATTTCTGGGAGTTTTTGCTTCAAATAATACAAAATAAAGTACTTTCCCACCTTTCCCATTATACAATGTTTCCTCTTGCACAATTCTTCCGTCATCACTTGTTGCTATAAATGTAGGACGAGCCAGTGTTACATCATGATCACCTTCATTTTTATCGGTTACTGCATAACCAACCGACTGATCGAGAATTGCAGCTCCATTAACTTGACTTGCTTGATTATCTCTTATTTCCGTTAACACCTGTAATGTCTCTCTTTCTCTGATCCCTATGTTTTCATCGTTATTTCCTGCATTTAGTAGCAAATGGTCATGAGAATGCTTTGACCGTCCTATATCTTACTGCAACAGATTTGATGTTCCTCCTCCAACCATTATCCTCACAAATCTATGCTTTAAAGTTATAGCAGCAAGTAATTTTCCCCCATGCAAAGAAACCAAATCATTGCCAGCATTTATAGCTTTAACTGCTTCCTTATAGAGAGTATGGAGAATCAATTTCAAATAGCAATGCATGTTCCACCTTTCTTGAGAAGAAGATCAGGAGAATAGCTGTGAAAATAAATGATGAAAGAAGATCATTCATTTTTCCGCTTTGATTCTTAAGAAGGAAGCCAAGGATAGAAGAAATTAGATGGATAAACTTAAAAGAGGATCGTGAAATTTATTCTCCATGCTGGTGGTGGGGACCTTGGTCAGCCAACTAATCAACATTGATTCACCAACAGTATTCTTACAGAAATTATCAGTGGAATGTCTATCTTTCTAATTTGCATTTTGGTTCGTGCCAATAAGATAATCTTCAAAAGTTCAAAACAAAATAAGAAACCTTGTCATAAAGCACCACAAACATGCGCAAAATTAAATACCTAGTCCAGTTGAAACTTCTTCCTCGGGAGAAACCAATTTAGGAAAGAGCCATGTACCTGCCCATTGAAAAATGGTTAAACTAAGGAATCTTAGCAAGACCCATATTACAACATACATAAACATTTACGAACTAGAAATTTCAATTGTATGAAGATACTGGAAAAATCATCCATAGCAATAAATCGAACTGGAACACGATTTTTTTTTCTTTTTTCTTTTGAAAGAAACAATTTCATTGATATATGAAATTACAAAAGCCCAAAAACGGATTACATGAAGCACTTCCAATTGGCTAAGAGGGAAATGCAGCTACAGTGATGAAACCATGGAGAGCATTTAAACCAACAAACAACTAAAAACACTATAGCTTCAAAAGGGCTGTCAAATGGGAGGAGTTTATTGTTGAAGATTTAACCATGACTTTTTTTTAAGCCCCAATGGGCATGTGCCACTGGCATCCTCTTGGGCTACATACGGGCTTGCTTTTATTTCAATGTCAGTAATTTGCAAATCCAATAATGGCAACCGTTTTCACAACATGCTTGACTGCTGAGTTTTTTTTTTTTTTTTAATTGTATTTGACCAACAGCTGCAGGACAGTTTGGACCATGCAACAAATATCGATCCATCGACAAGATGAGAATGAAAGACGCACCTATAGGGGTGAGGAAACTGAGGCAGGACGTGCATCTGACTTTATCAACCTGAGTAGGAATTGCTACAGAAACAGTATTATTTACCCATTCCTTATCGCGTATAATCACCTTCGTGACACAAGCCTGACAGTTAGGACAGTAGAAATTATGCGAGCTGGGTTTCTCATATATCCTTTCAAGATATAAATCAGCCACTTCATTTCCATTTTCTGTCCTTAACTCCACTGTTTTACTTGCAGTACTCCCATTATCAAGAGAGGTATAATACGAAGCCTGCTCCAAAATTTCCCCCTTGGATGGTGGATTGGCAACAGTTAAAGGGATCTGATCACGCTGGAGCATGATCGCGGTACCATTTCGCACACCTGTTTTCCTTGCTGTGACATCTTCAATCTCATCAGTGGGGTTTACTTCGTAAATAACAGCATGATCACCATCAGTTTCCAACCGGGAAGATCCATTAGAAAATCCAGTACCTGAAGTTACATGGTCGTGAAAATACGTTATGTTCATCCAATTGAAGAGCTAACAAGAAGAAATCAAAGAGAGAGAAGGTAAAATTCGGCTTTCAATGTAAATACCCAAATTTGGAACAACAGTACCAATAATAATACTGGGATAAATGACTGCTGCTTTTCATTCTGGCTCTGCCTATAGATTAAGGGTGGAAAAAACAAATTTTCGTAATTTAAAATTAGCATAATTAAAAAGCTCCGATGATTTGTTTGGGTGGATAAAATTTGCTGAGGTTCCTGTTCTTGTTTTGTTACAGTACCCCAGTTCCGACCCTTTTGTCAGCGAGAGAATCCAACCCATGCAATGGAAATTCAAATCCCAAACGTTCAATAACTCCATTCTTCTTGCTCTAATTTCAAGTTACTACCAACAGGAACAAACGCATTTATATACATAAAAAGAAAAGGTAAAGAAAGCATAATCTTTTCAAAAGAAAAACAAACAAACAAAAACCCCAATAAATAGTATGCGTAATTCACATAAATCATTAAAACAAAATAAAATAAAAATCCTCGATTTTCAAAACGAGTTTGACATCGCCCAAGTTGGTACCGTTGACCGGACCCAGCCTTGAAAATTACAACTCCATTATCCATACATATTCTAAAAAATATACTGGAAAAATGAATGAATTAATTCTAAAAAATAATACAATTATTAAGAATGATGACGTGTTAATTATTTTGTTCTTCCGAAGTGTGCGTAATGTTATTAACACTTTAATTAAGAGAATTAATTAAGAAGTTTCGTTAGGTAACCCTGGCCCTCCTTTTCGTTTCATCGAACACTTAGTCTCTCCGTCGAGAAGAAGCCTGTTTTCTCGCCCAGTTTCTCCATCAAACTAATAATTAATCTCTTCATCTCCAGAATTCACGTCACGAGTCGACAATTTAATTTAGGTTACTGACAGAGATTAACAGAATTCCAATCAAGTAGGATCTCGGAAATATATTTCAACATACAAGGAGCAAATTCAAGTGTGTTTTCGGCTAATAAAAGCTTCCTAATGACCTTTTTTTTCCCGTTAGAACAGTATCGAGGCAATGGCGGACTGTTTTACGCCTTTCCTCCTCACCTCCATCGTGTAAAATGATTGTGCCAAATTACACTTCAAATGGAGAATAAAGAACCGGCAGGAGAATAACAAAGAAATCAAAAGATGGATAGAAAATTCCGCCGAAACTTACCTTGTTCTTGTTCTTGTTCCTGTTCATCTCGAATGACGAATTTAGGTCGCTGAGAAGTAGAATCCTCCGACTGCGAGTACATTTCATCGCTGTCAGATGAAGAAATGCTAGATTGGGCGTCTTGACGAAATGTCTTCCGCAGCAAGTCAGTCCGCTCCTCCTCCTCCTCCTCCTCCTCCTCCTCCTCCTCCTCTTCCGTCGTCTCCGGTTCCACCTCCGGCGGACGTTTGTCCCCGTTCATGGCCCCAGATGAACTCCGGCAGCCGGGGAAAAGGCAGAGGATGACGTTGTTGCAGAGCCTTTTTCTAAGAGGACCAGTGGGTGGATACAGTAGCTTTCTTTCTTTGGCGTTGGTATTTTGAAAAGTAAATACGAAGTCATAATTAAAAAAGCTGAAAACGAAACTAATTTTTGTCAATTTTGGACAATTTTACCCTCGCATTTATTCACCAAGTTAGGTACGGGCTGTGTGGTGTGATGTGATTTGTGAGGTTTAGGGTTTTTTGGAAAAGGGAAATATAATAAAGAGAAAGTTAATTACAAATTATTTCCAAAAAAAACATGAAAATTATGGTTTTTTGTGATATTTTTGTGATTGTGCTCTTAAAGATACATACATCCATGTTAAATCATTTTTGCCATTGAATTATTTCACTTCTTTTTTCTCTTTAAAATAAATTTGGAATTTATAATATTTTTAAAGATAGTTATAATTTCAGTAATATTTTATTTAAAAAAAAAAAAGTCCAGATTCTTATGAGCTGTGGATTAAAATTTTTAACTTATAAACAATATTATTAATTTCTAACTTTAAATGTTAATGTCTCACATAATTGTGTCTAAGAAAAATTATATGAGTCAATAAATTCATCAAAATTATATTTAAATTAATAAATAAAAATTAAAAATTATTTAAATTAACAAATAAATATTTTACTGCTTAAAAAAAAAGCTGATTATTTTAAAGATTAGGTTCACCTAAGTGATATTTTGTTGATTTCTTTTACCATTTGTTGATTCTTTTGTGCTATAATGGAAATGGACCAAACTTTATATAAAAAAAATTGGGAATGATCATACTTGAATGTCAAATTAAGGCTCTCTTTGCCTCAAGTAGATGAGAATTAAAAAATGGAAATTAAAGGACTCGTTTGGTAACATTCCTGTTTTTTTATTCTCGTTTCTAAATTTTATTAAGAAACTTAAGCATTTTGTAATTAAATATGTTTCTTGTTTCTCATTTTTTGGAAACATTTTCCAAATTGTATAGAAAATTTTGGAAACAATCAAAATAAGTTTCTTGTTTCCATTTTCAATCTGTTACAATACATAAATATAAATATTATTTGATCATGTGGGTGTTTGGCTATACAATTATATTTTTTATTTATCAAAAATGAAGAAACGGAAACAAGAAAAATGAACATTACCAAACGAGTCCAAAATTTTAATTTTGATGGTGTTTACTAAATATATGAATTGAATCAAGTGGGGTACCACCACAAACTTTATAATCTCATTTCTAAAAAGGTGTCTCATTTCTCTCTTACAATCTCGTATATACCAATTACCGTTGAGCTACGCTTTGGCCCCAACCACAGGCTTTAATAACATATTACTCACATTTTTTGTGAATTTTGTAATGATATACAAAGTTTACTAAACATTAGATGGCTTTTTTATTTTCCTCTAATTCAAATGGTGCTAAAAGAAAATTCAAGTTTCCTTTAATTTATTTCCCACATACATGAACTACTGCAGAGCTATCAAATTGAGTGATATAAAATATTGAGGGAATTTGGATATTGTTTTAATAATGTTTTATTTTAAATTTATTCCAAATATATGTCAACCACCAAACTATTTCCAAGAATAATGCTGGGAAAATTAAAGGTCGTCTCTTGTCACTTCTCACTTCTACAATTGCATGGTTTTTTACTGACGCTATGTGTGTTGTTTTTTTTTTTTAATTATGACATATAATCTCTTCAAGAAACGATATATGCCAAAAATAATACGTAATGAATGCAATTGTATAACTACTTTTTAATTATCACACCCTCAAACTTTCGATTTAAACGATTTTTGCTTGAGAAATGCAATTGTATACCTCCTTTAGTTGCAGCTTCAAAAACCTGCAAAAATTATTATTGAACTTAACTAATAACAAACTTAAAAGTGAGCTAGCAATTACTTCAATTAAAAATTTAAATATGTTATTCATAGTTTTATTGTTTCCAATTAAAGAATTTTTTTGAGACTGATAAAATTGGGGTTAAATGCATTTCTCAAGCAGTAAAAATTGACAAATATATATTTTAGTATTAATATTTAGATATTTTTTCAATTCGATCCTATCATTTTTAAATTTTTAATTTAATCTCTTATATTTTAATATCTTTCAATTTAATCTTTTACTTATGAGTAAATGTAAAATTGAATTATGACAAACTTATATAGCATAATATCTAATAAATTGGTAGAAACGATAAGTGGCTAAATTGAAATATATATACTTTTCACTGCAACAAATTAGGAGCATAGGAGTTTGAACTTTCAACTTTAAAGAAAATAATACATACTATTTACCATTGAGTTAAGTTCAGAACTAAATATATATTTAACAAAATATATATATATATATATATATAAAGAAAAGGAAAAAAAATCATATTTGACTCTTTTAGCAAGTATGAAGCTGCAGTAAAAGTGAGGTGTGAGATACGATTTGGAATTGAATGGGGTCCACACACAATCATGATTCTAAATATCAATCGACACGTCAATATTTCCATCGACATATTCATGTTTCCATAGATTTGACATCGACAATGAGGAGTGAATCGACATTCCATCATAGTATAAGAAAATCGACAAAATATGAAAAATATCAACAAAATGTCAATAATATAAATATATTATATTAATATTAATTGTTTTTAATTAATTTAGAAATAGAAAAATGATTATATGTTAATTTAAATATTTTTTACGATTTTTTAATTTTTCTAATTTGTACAGAAATATCTATCGACATTGACATTTTATTTCCATCGATTTTTCTATGAAATTGAGACCTCGATATTTTCATCGACATCGACATTTAAAATCTTACCCACAATATAAAAATAAATAAAATAAAACCGATTTATTTTTAGTCTTAAATTTGATTTCCCTTTCAAGCAGGTTTTCCCTTTGGAATCCGCAAGACTCCTTTTTTTTATTGTTATTTAAGTTGGCAGTTGATTTTCACGTGGGGTAATCAATGCGATGGACACGTGTAAATCATCTAGTGGTCCCCAGAAAATGGTGCAGTGAAGATGGTACCGGTAATGACGATCTAGACCTTTTGTTACCCTTTGTTTTTTATTATTATTGAGAGGATGAGTTGTTGGTGTATTTTTTTAAAAATAAATAATGTTAATTTTAAATATAATGACAAAAATAGCATATGTTGAAACTATTTTAAAAAATGGTCATAGCTAAGAAATTACAGCGATTGACTGCGAGACGTTGTAATTTTTGTCTTATATATATATATATATATATATGTTGTCTTTACCGTTAATCTCAAAACTCTCACGTTGGTGAGGGCGACTGATCCATAAATTTTATTAAGGAGAATTAGACTATTTAACAAGTAAATAGTTCAAAACATGGATTAAATGAGCTATAATTTAACACATCACAATTGTCCTCTAAAAGTTTATAGTAGTTTAACAAGTAAGTAATTCCAAATTTCTTTTACCAACTATTATATTTAAAATAATCTCAAATGAATATAATATATGAGGTAAAGTTAAGAAAATTTACCATAGACAATTAATCTTCAAATAGTCGATTTCTTTAGACTCTACAAACTGCAAAATTCAAATTAAAAATTATATAAAACAAAAGTAATTGAATCTCGAAACTGATGTCTTAAAGAGAAAAAGAGATATTGATAGACGATAAAATAATTAATAGAAAAAATATTACCTATATATAACGACAACATATGAATTGGAAAAAAAGTTAGCCTTGAAATTACTAGGAACAATTTGATTAAAGAGATGACAACTGATGCATCAATTGAAAAGAATGTTTTGTAGGTTAAAAAGAAAAGGTAATGGCTGCCCAATTTAAAATTAGAGTTTAAATATCTCACTAATATATATATATTTTTTTAAATGGACATATTTGTTTAGAGAATTTTCCACTTTTGTATTTCTTTGAAATTTTTAAAAAATTAACTTAATTATATAATGTTTAGGAAAAATTAATTTTAATATTTTTCTTATTTTAACCTCATTTGCAGTAAATTTGGTAACAAATACACAATTCGCTCAAAAAAACATGGTAACAAAATTCATATTAAATAAAACGAAAAAATGTACCTAAATTTGGGGTCATATGCAAGACGTTGGAGTCATTAGGGGATTTGGGCGCATGGACACCGCTGTGCCTACATATATTTTGTTAACATATATAAGATTTCCCGGACACCACTGTGCCTACATATATTTTGTTAACGTATATTAGATTTTTACAAGCCGTTAATAAATCTACCCCTAGTTGGTGTAGTGGATATCTAAAGTAACATACTCCTTAGATTCCTAGGTTTGTACAATTACCATTTTACTGTGTTGAACCTAAAATAGATTTTTTGTCTCTTTGATCTAATTATTCCGGAGAATTTTAAGTATTTTTATTTTCAATTTGTACGTTTCCATTATGTATGTGTGATATTTTTTTATATAAAATTATTATATTGATATATTTTTATTTATGTTTTTTATTTAATACTTTTTCTATAAAAAATATGATATGAAATTTACTAAAAACAATATCTTCCATGATATAAACTTAATTAGATATATTTTATTAAAAAAATGAGATATAAAAGTTAAAATTATTTATTTTAAATGAAAAAAATACATTTTTCTAAAAAAGGAATTTAAAAACTAAAATAGGATGACGCAATCTAAGACAATAAAAATGTTATAATTTGATCTAGAGACAAAGCAGTTGGATCATAAAGAAGAAATCCAACGTGCCAATTTTTTTAATTGTATATTATATTGTATTCAACTTAAATTGAGGGGCATGTGACCCGTGAAAGTTATGTTGCACGCGATTTCGCCCTAACTCATCTTCAATCCACTTCATGTATAATGTCTTGGTACATAAATCACATTATTGTACGTAATTTTTTACATTGACCAACACTTAATCTATTTTTGTCGAGTGAGAACTCAATCTTCGTTATTTTTATGGGTTGAGATGTTGAAGATTTATTTAATATGAAACTCGGATCCTATTTCTTGTTTCTAAATTGATTGAATTAAAGATTTATTGGAGG